CGGCGGTGATCGCCCCGCGCGCCGCCTTCCGCGCTCGGCGGGGGGGCCGCCTTCGATGATGACGTCGACTTCGCCGGGCGGCGGACCGCCACGCCCACCTTTCCCCTCATAGGAGGGCCGCTCCGGGGGAAATCGCGCGGTGCTCCGCAGATCCCTGCTGGGGATGCCCCCGCGTTGCTCGTCCGATTCCCCGGCGACGACAAGGCGACGCCCCCCTCCTTGGAGGGGCGTGGGTTTCCCCATCCCGAAAGGGCTTTCTGCACGCCTTCGAAGACGTCTGGAGGCCTCATCATGGGGGCGCCGTCCCTCCAGGAACGGCCAAACGACTCGGGCATCCGGATTCTCAACTATTCTCGACAACCAGGGGAGGACCTTGATGAGGTGTCCTTTATTTCTCTTCATACATCCAAAGCCCATTCGCTAAATAGTGCACCTGTAACGGGAATGAATCATTCAACAGTTGATGCCAATTCACTCGTTGACAGTAAATTTTTGGATATTAGCGCTTAGGGAGTGGTCTATAGTGAGACTATGTTGCTATTAATGTGGTTGGATTTTGTAGGGTGAAGCCGTTGGACTCTACGGTGACCTTTTTTTTGTGTGGATGAGGGGCCAAATGAGCTTCACACTGGATTGATGCATGCTCACACTTTCATTTGTGGAATTGATCCTATGTGGTGATATATAATGGCCAAGTCACCGGTGCTTAATTTATAGAGTACTGCTCAGTTTTGTTGTGTAATGAATACAATCATGTCTATGCGTGGATTCTTTCGAGGAAAGACCACAGATTCGCGGGTGTGAATTGACAGAGCCAATAAAAGGCCTCAAACGGTAATTTAGAAGTACGTGTGGAGAACAGAACCTCTACATCATTACAGAATGATCCCCCTTCCACCTCATCCTTGAGGTTGATGATGTTGATATATGCTATACAAAGGCGCACCATTGCATTTTGATTCAATTTTGTAAGGATAATTGATTCGCACTTTACCTTTTTTTCCCTGTGTCTTTCAATGACCTTGAATGCCCTCCTCAAGTGATTATTCTTCATAATCAAAAAACACTTTATATTTTCAAATTTCCGAAAGCAAAATGCCTAACCTTTGTGTTTCGTGCCACTTCAACCCGCCCGTCATTACCATTCTCGGCGCGCCTCTTCGTGAGGATACCATCCGTGCGTTGGAGAGTCAACTACCCCTTGTGACCTCGACGGCTGTGGTTCCGAACAAAGAACTACCTAGGTTCACCTTTATCCAAAAGCCCGATCACTGGAAGATTGAATTGCAGCAGCACTACTGCGACGAACTCCACAAATCTGCGATGTTTATCACATTTATTGAGGCCCTGAAGCAAGAGGGATGGATGATTCGAGCCTCGAACTCTGTTGGAGACGGTGAGGGGGACACCACCAAACTGTTCTTCAATCGTTCGTAAGATAGAAAAGGAAAGCGGTTAGCGTATGTACATTTTTTAAATATTCACGGATGTTTGTTTCTTATTTTCCTTCTCTTTAAGTAAAAAGCTTTTTAATGTATCTAGTATTTTAACATGCTTTCCTTTTCTTCTACCAAGTTCACTCGAGCAAAGAAAGCAAGTTATCATAAATGTAAAGACGAAATATTGGCATATATATATATATATATATTTGCTTCCCCAGAATGCTGGGTAGGCAGAATCCTTTTGTGTGGCCTAGGAGGCAGTGCTAATAAGACTTTTTTTTCTACTCTTTACACCGTGTTCAGGATTTTTGGCTCCTTAAATCTTTTTATTTGTTCTTAGTCATTAGCGAAGTGATTTGGGACAAAGTTGATTAAGGTAGAGTTTCAATATGCACTCCAAAGTTAGGCGACCATTATGGAGTTTTTTTCTGCCCGCTACTGTAAGTAGCCGCCTTCGAACCATTGGGTATAACTCCTTTATGTTGATGTTTTTTATTTCTTCAGCGGCTATTCTCAACAGTCAGTCCTACTATAGGTCTAAATTGTTGGATGAGGACGAAAAAACGTGTGACCGAATCGACCGTCGTGCATATGTTGCATTGCCTGATGGCCGCATGGCGCTCGTTTACCCCATTATTGACACCCAGGCAACCTTTACTCGAACTGTTTTGGCATTCCTAGACTCTGTTAATATCTTGCCCTGAAGATTTCCCGCTGTAAATGAGTTATAAGGACAACTTCAGTCACACACTCACACATATATATATATATATTTATATGAATATATTTTTATTGTCTTTTCGTCACCAAGCACTGGCGAGTAGCCTGTGTAATATTTATGATTTACATTTTCCCTTTTTGATACTTATATGCGGTTTTGGGGTCATCGAAAAACATGGAGAAAGTCCATGTTTTTATAGGATCAAGGGGAAAACAGGCTTGCTTGGGACAAGAATAGTTCATTTAGGAAAGTTTGAATGACTAAAACGATTAATGGAAAGAAACTTATTACATTTAGCGATAGTAATATATATTTTTTATATTTTTGTGAATCTTTTGCTTAGCACTAGCGTTAATTGTAGCCCATCTTTGCAGTACAAAACGGGGAGTCGTTACTTTTGGCAGAAATTGTCGTAGAAAATGTTCAAGGAAATGAGTAAGACTAATTTTTTTCATTTGCATGATTTGCTTATGTTTCAAATGCTGTTTTCCTCCACAATGTTTACATTTCCCCTTAACAAAAAGTTTCGATGCACTCCCTTAAAGGCGCACCCGCCTTGTTTCCTGGACCCAAAACCCAGCCTGCCCATCCGACCACGACGGCAAAGCAGAATCCACCTCTTAGAGATGTAGTAAATCCTAGCACGGAGTCCGACCTAACAGTTAGTGCTCAAAAGAGAAACAGGAAAAGGTCTAAGAAGACTAAAGATTCAACCTCACCACTTATCACGCCTAAGCAAAAAGCGACCGAGTCGTTTACTTCCATGGAGAGAGAAAGCTCGGCCGTGCCTGTGCTCGAGTCCATTGATGATTATGAGGATGATTTTGAGGATAGCGAACTGCCGGATTCAGATGATGATATACCAACCGTAGAGCAGATGGTATCCAAACGGATGCCGTCAGAGCCCTTGTCCGCTGCGGCATATTCTGAAACATTCGACGAACCTGAGGGTGAGGCCGCAGAATTAGAAAATGAGACTAAGAACTCAGAATTAACTGCGAAGGAAGAAGAATTAAAAGCTAGAGAGAATGAGTTAAATCGGCAAATCGAATTATTTAGGCAACAGCAGCAACTGCAACAACAGCAATTGCAGCAGCAGCAACAGAAACTAGATCTTCAGATACAGCAACTGCAACAACAACAGCAACAGCAGCAGGCGATCGCGGATGCTATGAAGCGGCAAAATGTTGAGCCAGCACCGGAAAATCTGGTGGCTGCGGGGCCCTCCTCAGGTGGAGGTGAGCCACTGCCTCGCGATGCTGAAGAGGAGCAAGCTGTTCAACGCGGAAAAAGTGTAGACGATACTCGACATGCTGAACTTCGGCAGCTACGGGAGCGTGAGCACACTCGACTATTGGAGCAGACAGAAGAGGAAGGCACTATGCGCTATCTTTTTCAACGGCTGTCTGAGGATATCCGTGAAGTTTTTTACGAGCTTAATCTTTCCATCATTGCTGCTGAGAAAGAGCGTCTCCTCAAGGATGCGCAGTACCAAAAGGAGAGGGAGGCGCGAGATAAGCAAGTCGAGAAGCAGAACATGGAAAGGCTATTGCGAGAGGTCAAGGAGCGTGAAGAGCGTGAGGAGAAGTTTTGGAGTAGAGCCGAGGAGCGTGAGCAAGAATTCCGAGCCTTGATAGAGGAACGCTTGAGGAAGGATGAGGAGGAGCGCGAGGCGAGACTCAAAAGGGACTTACAGGATAGCGCAGAGCGTGCACGAAAGGATAGGGAGTTAAGGAACCAATTAGAAAGCCTTGAGCGGGAGCGGCGTTCCCAAGCCACCGCAGATGCACATCAACGGGATAATTTGTTCATCCAAAACCAGATAGAAAATATCAAGTCTCAGTATGCTGCCCAATTGGAGGATATTCGGAACCAAAACGCGATCCAACATGCACGCCTAGAAGAGTCTCACCGTTCTGAGCTTGAGATGATCCAGAGGCGGTATGATGCAGACTCTCAGCAGCTGATAAATCAGCACGCCAAGCAACTTGCGCTGGCAGAGGCACAATTCGGGAAGGTTGACAAGTTGGAAAGGATCTTGGAAAGTCTTCATGCCGAGATCGAGGCGTCAAAGAAGCTAAGCGAAACACTCACTGAAGAGCGCTTGAATACCCTCCAGGGCAAGGAGCGGCAGCTTGAAGAGCAAAACTCTCTCCTGCAGGCTTTGATGAACGATCTTCAAGATGGGAAACAACAGCTGGAAAAGGAGCGAGCTCGTATTTCCACCCTGTATGCCAAGTTCGAGCTCCTACTCGGGAACTTCACGAAAAACGCTGAGGAAGATCGCCGACAGCTCCAAGAGTCTCAGAGCCGCATGGAGACGCTTCGCCAGCAAACCGATAAAGACCGCCGATTAATGCTCAGCGAGATCTTTCAGGAGCGTAAAGTGCTCGAACAACAGACCGAAGAGTTCTTTTCTCGTAAGATGGAAGCTATGAGCGAGTTGCAGGAGGAACGCTTGGCAATTTCCCGGGAGCGAACCGAAGCAGCCATCTCACGGGAGCGTCAAAATCGCGACGAAACCGAGTTGCTCAAGTCCTTGCGTTCCCGTGAGGAGGAGTACGCGATGAAGATTGAGTCTATTGATGCGGACCGCTCGGCCATTAGCCAAATGAAGTTGGAGTTGAAGCAAGCGTTCGAAAGGATGGCCGCTGATCGGGAGGCAATAAGAAAGGAGCGAGAGATATTCGAGCTTGAAAAACAAGAGCTTCTTGTCCGTTTTGATGAGATACGGCGCCGTGCGCACGACGCTGCGAGTGCGCAAGAAAAGATGCGCACAGCTTTAGTTCAGGAGCGCGCTGCGACGGAGTTCGGCATTGACCGCCCGCCACCGAGGCCCTTGCAATCGCAGCCACGGCCATCTCAGCACACCGACCCCGGCTCGATGGCCGCCGCCATGACGAACCTTCAGATAGACTTAGCGCATCAGCGCGCGATATTGGGGCGGATGTCGACGCCATAGCACCCTTTCAATTCAACAGCATGGGGGAGAGGGAGGGGCGTGTATGTGTGGGGGAGAGAAGAGACCTGCATCCAAAAAAAAGGTTCGTCGCGAAATTGTGATTGGTGTGTATCCAAGCCAATTAGTGTTTTTTTTTTTATTGCTATATATATGGGGAGCCCATGCGAAGCCCCAACGACAACGCGCTACACCTACAAACACCATAGATACAAAATTAGACGATAAAAAGCATACAGTTCGTCTGCAGAAGCAGATCCATCTGGACGATTTTTCATGTGTTTGGTTCGCTTTGCACTTGGTTCAGTCTTCTCTATTCCTACGTTTGATTGTCTTTATTGTGGTGGATTTCAATTTCTGATTGAGGTTCCAGTTCCCTAGAATTAGTTACATATTCACATCCCGAAGCATCCGCCTAGCGAGCGAGCCACGAGGGTCATTTTGTGTAGAGCGGACAAACCAAGCACCAAAAGGGATGCCCTTTTCTCGGACGCCACGGCTTTGCAACGCCAAGTCCATCCAATTCGGTGGCACGGCCCGGGAGTTGATGCTGAGGGGCATCGAGCGCATTGCCACCGCGGTCGGGGTCACCCTCGGGCCGAAAGGCCGCAACGTGATCCTCCGCCAACCCAACGGGGATCCGAAGATCACGAAGGACGGCGTCACCGTCGCCCGGGCGGTTGAATTTCACGACCAATTCGAGGACCTCGGCGCGCGGCTGATTCAACAGGTCGCGGTGAAGACGAACAACGTCGCGGGGGACGGCACCACCACCGCGACGATCCTCGCCTGGAGCATCTTCGCGGAGGGCTACAAAAGCGTCGCGACCGGGGCAAACCCGATGGACCTCAAACGCGGCATCGACCTCGCCGTTGGGATTTTGCAGGAGGGGCTGCGGGAGCAAACCCGCCCGGTGACGGACCCCGCCACCCTCCGCAGCGTCGCCACGATCAGCGCGAACGGGGAGCGGCGGATGGGCGAGCTCATCGCGGAGGTGGTAGGGGGGGTCGGCTCCGACGGTTTCATCGCCGTGCTCAGTGGGAACTCCACAACCACGCGGTGGGCTCGTCATGACGGGTGGAGCACGGAGCGGGGGTTTCTTTCTGGTGAGCTCGTTACCGACCCCGCGAGGCTCCTCGTGCGGCTGGAAGGGGCGTTGGTATTTGTCAGCGCGGGGCCGCTTGCGGGGGTGGGGGAGGTTGTCCGGCTGCTCGAGGCCGCGCACGCGCGGGGGCGGCCGCTCGTGGTGGTCGCCCCCGCCTTTTCGGAGCCGGTCCTACAGACGATTATTTGCAATCATCAAAACAACGTCGTCCGGTGCGGCGTCGTGGTCGTTCCCCATGTCGAGGAGGACGAGCTGCAGGACATCGCGGCGCTCTGCAGCTGCGCGGTGGAGAAGGCGAGCTCCATTCTCAACGTCGACGACGTTCACTGCCTCCTCGGAAACGCCAAACTCGTGGAGCAGACGATGGATAGCACGACGATCGACGGGGGCGCGGATGTGTCGGATCGCATCCACCTCCTCCAGAATCGTCTGGAGCGGCTGGTGATCGAGGAGGAGCGAGAAAAGATGCGTGAGCGGATTTCCAAGCTAAAGCGTGTTTACGCCGTTATTCGTGTCGGTGGGCGATCGGAGATTGAGATTAGCGAATCGAAAGACCGCGTCATTGATGCCCTCAACGCCTCACGCAATGCTCTGGTTGAGGGTGTTGTCGCTGGGGGCGGTTCTGCGCTGCTGCATGCATCGAAAAGGCTCGATGAGCTGCTTCTTAACGATGATGAGATGGAGCAGGATCGGCGGATGGGCATTCAGATTGTGCGTAACGCGGTGCGGCTTCCGCTCAAGATGATCAGTGAAAACGCGGGCGAGGAGGGTGCCGTCATCGTCGAGAACGTTTTGGAGTACCAGGATCCCGCGATGGGGTACGACGCACAGAATGGACGCTACGTTAACATGTTTGAGGCTGGTATTCTGGATCCCCTGCAGGTCGTGAACTCGTGCATTGTCGACGCCGCCTCAATTGCGGGGTTAATGATCACAACGGAGGCTAGTGTGTGCGACTACACACCAAATATGGACCTGGAGTAGGCAGTAGGCAAAGAGGGGGAGGGGGGTGGAAGGAGGAGGGGAAGGCGTCTTGCCCCCTTTTTCTCCATACACGCATCCGTACTGGAATAACGTTTAAAATAGATGGATCACGACATGCGGCCGCCTTTTTTGAATGAGGATTGTCGTTATGTGTCTGAAAGGCAAGGGTAGTTTTATCGTTTTCTCTTTCTTCCCTTGCCTTTTGAGTCCGACTTGTTAGGTTTAGTTTAGTATTGTGGTTCGGGAGGTACAAATCGGTTCTTCTTTTCCGATTTGCATCTTTAACGGTTATACCTTTCCGATTTCTTCACATCCTCCTAGTCTTATATCGTGTCCCGTCACGAGTTAATATTTGTTTTTAAGCGAACCAAAAGCGCTTTCTGAAACCAGAAGTTCTCTGTATTTTTCCCTACGATTATATTTTTTCCCCCTTCCCCTTCCCTTTCCCTTTTCCTTTTCCTTTTTATATTTTGTTCTCCAGTACGAGGAAGTATAGTCCAAGGGTTGTTTTGGTCGCAACGCACGCGGACCCTTTTTTCTTTGTCAATGCTTCGGCGATGTAGATTGTTTAGGGAAATGGCCCCGGAGCTGCAGCTAGAGTACGTCCCTGTTCTCTTTACTCGCACCATATTGGGTCCTCAAGGCGGTTTTGCCGGTGAGGAGCGCCTCATCAAGCGGGAGGTTGCACAGAAGTATTTCGCGGATAAGCATGTGGTCTTCCCTGACGAGGACTCTCGGCGTGGGGTGTGGTGTTACAACCCCGATACCGACCAGCACGATCGATTCGTGGAACGAAATGAGGAGTTTCTTGAATTCGCCGCGCGCAAACGTCAGTGGTTGGATGTCTATTGGCGTGTTAATACCGGTTATTTGCTATTCGGACGCCAGTCGTGGGGCCAGGGGTGGCTTCTCAACTGCCCATTGCGTAAAAAGGACATCGCACAAAAGTTATGGGAGCAGTACAAGGTGCGGATTGATCCTCGGTTGGTTGAGTTCCGGGAAAAAGATCGACGCACGGGGATTCAAGAATTAGGACATAACTGGTGCTGGTTGTATCTTCCCGGGGCCGAGGAACTTGATATTGATCGAGAGGTATACGATAACAAGCGTGTCAAGGTGCGTATGCACATCCGTAAGATGAACAGTTATGGTGCTTTGTATTAGCGTGATTGACGGGCGACTCTGCCTTTTTGTAGGTTGTGTTGGACACCAGAGTGAAAATAAAAGAAGAGTAACGCCTTTTCAAAAAAAAAAAATGCATTACAATCCTAGTGTTCGAAAGATGCGAATTATCCGCTTCCCCTATTTCCATGCACACACCTATACATGCACATCCATAGCACTGGTGGAGAGATAATTCACCGCACAGCTTATTGTGATGCATGATGACAACCGGGGAGGATAATAAAGAATAAACAATCCCTTTTTGATGCCCATGCTGGAGCAATATTTGCATGCCAACTCTTTCAAAAGCTTGGCCTTTATCACTTCAATCTCTTGTTATCCTATTTAGATTATCCTTCCTACCCCTTCAGTTTACCTTCAATACTGTATTCGATGTTACGGAAACTATCACGCGGGTGTTGTCCCCATACTTTTGTAGAATATGCGCCATTGTTTCGTCAGACAAAACGGTTCCTTGCCATTCGCTCTACGGGGTTTCTTCTAGATGGCAAACCTTCCAACAATGCAGCAAACACGGCATCGAACTCTGCTGATGAGGAGGATCGCCAAGAGTTGGAGCGAGAGCGGAACTTGCGTGAGCGCTTTGCTCAGAAAGTACAACAAAGCATACCACAAGCACAGGGCGACAGTGATGGCGCCAAATCGGGGTCATTCGTTAACGGGAATCCCATAGGACCCTTGCCGAGCGGCGTGAGCGCTTCCATGTTTAACTTCTTCATGGTAATCATGCTTCTTTTCCCATTGTTGTTATTGGCCGGTTATAAGTCTCAGATGTCTGACGTGCAAAGCTTGCCGTGGAGGGAGCTTCCCCCAGCCACTGTAGCATGCTATTTACTCCTCCGTAGTTTATACTCAAGAAGGGAACAAAAGCGCATTCAGGATGAGTTTCAAGGTGCTTCCCGCAAAAACCCATATCTGTCGTTTGATCAGTTCATTGTCCAGTTTCATCCTAGTATTTTCGATGGGTATCGTACTTCCCAAGCGGAGGTGATTGCGGCCATCTCGGCGTGTTTAGTTAGTTCGAAAGATCTAAAATTCGCTCGAACTATGCTACGTGCGGTTGGAAGGGCAAAAGATACTCGCGCCTCTGTGGATGCTATTCTGGATGCATTGCGCACAGATTTCCCAAATATCTTCTGATTCTTTTTTTATTATCGAGGCAACGGGGAGGAAGTAAACCTCTTTTTTTGACAATCCTTTCATCGTAAAGAGGTGGTGATGTGAAACCGAAGTGTGTCCTAATTAGCTTTTTACACACGTGCTTTAACCGAACACAGTAAATAATGTAGGCTGTCATTAAGAGCAATTCAAAGATTACGGGATAGTCGACTCTCTTGTATTGAGTTCAGCAGTTTTGGGCCAAAAATGGTGGCGACGCATATCTCCGTAATGTAGAAATGGTTGAATTTGTGATCCATACTATACGCATCAATACGTTAGCTTGTTTTGTTTTCGGCAAGAGGCATTCCCACAAGTTGTGAAAGAATTAGAAATTGAGCTCCCTTTCCTTCCCCCCCCCCCTCCTCTTACACGCGCACCAAAATATGTTTGGAATGTCAGTGTCTTTTCCTACAGAGATCTCGGATAATATGAGGTTGAACCTGCCGTTTTCCGATATGCCACCTTTTTACTTGTCTTCATAACCCCATACTTCAGTTAAAATGATGAATCCATAAAAGGACAAACGCATAATAAAATATAGAATTAGATCATATTTAAAACTAGAATAGCAGGTTCGTTTCGCTTCTCGGAGAAAGAAAGCAGTACCGCTTGTAATTAATATATAGACAATGAACAATAATTTACACTCGAGGCGTGAGGTTCGCGAGAAAAAAGCTACTCAGGAGTCTCCTCGCACGCTGGCTGAATTTCGTGCCGTCATGAGAATGAAGCGCAACCTCAACAACAGAAGAAGCGCAGAGTCCGAGGAAGAGGAGGAGTTGTTCTACAGCTCGCCGTCTGGCTACCCAGGTGAGCGTTTTTTTAGGTCTTTGTGTCCTGAATCGCCTTTTAAGGCTCGCATTCGGATTGAGCGTATTTACTGGGATGCTTGGGGCTCGGCTGTACGCAGCATTCTCTTTTCAGGTTTCGGAATTATTTTGCTTATCCTAGGTCTGGTATGCGTGCTTATCTTACACGAAATATCCCGTGGCGCCGTAATTCTTTTCGCGGGAGTACTACTATGCACACCTGGGTTTTACAGTTTATATGTGCTCCTTATGTATGTTCGTGGACACAAAAATTATTCCTACTGCCAGCTGCCAGGAAACCATTGATTGAGATAAAGAAACGAAGGTGGCAAGTGTACAATTGCATTACTTTATACCTTCTTAAAATTCCTTTCGATGCGCAGCATTATTAAGGATATGTTCCCCACCCCCTTCAAGACCTTGGCTGCCAATATATATTCGCCAAGCTTATGTCGTTAGGTCGAAATAATGGGGTTTGTTTCATTTGAATTGCACCTCCCTCTCGCCCACTCCTTTTTTCTCATACGGCAAAAATTTACGCTATGCATTTTAAATTTTTGCTTACTCGTCTTGCTCTACAGCTAAGCTCATTTCAATAAGTCTTTTTTCAGCACCCTTGCTATCCTTTTTTTCACTTCAGAAAATAACCCAATTATTCTCATCTTGAGCATACCGTCCGCCAATTGAATACCTGAGAACACAACAACCTCAATGGTGTTAATGTCCAAAAGCGATATCGAACTGGCTGCGCAGGTGGACGAGGCCTTGGATGCCTTCTTCTTTGAGATGAACTTCGGAAAGCACATCTTCACTACCGATGAGGCCGTGAAGGCGCTCGTCCTCTTCACCGGTCACCCGGAGGAGGAGGTGGTCGCCACGATCGGGCCGGATGCCTCCACGTTCAAGCGCGCCGATTTCTTCCATCCCGCCTACGTCATTCTTCGACACGAACGCGAGGAGGAGGGGGCTGACAACGAGGAGGAGGGCGACGACTCCGCCGGGCGGAGTACCACCCTCGTTGAGGAATTCCCCGCCGCGTTGCACAGCTCTTCCAGCGGGCGACCTCCTCTTCCTTCAACTGACGGCAGGAAGCTTTGTAAGCAATTTCAGCTGAACGGCTCCTGCGGCTTCGGCTCGCGCTGCCTCTACCACCACGTGCGGCCTCCCAACGAGGACGTGAAGCAGACCGTGGAGGAGTTGATGGAGTATTCCTTCGTGAATGATCTTTGAGCTCCGCGGCATCTCCCTCCCTCACCTATTATGGACAATGCGAGTTATTCTGATTTTTATCCGTTTTGAAGGCGTCTCCGACGCGAAAGGTAGCGGGGCGTTTGTGTTCGAATTGGACCGAAATGATGCTCCCGCGAACAATGTAGACACATGTAGTAAATCTTAAAACGAGCGGAGAATATCCCTCGATCCTTTGAGTTCAACTTTTATTTTTACGACATCAGCAATAGTTCCGCAAGCGAAATAAGCCGATGGTTTATTATTCTTTGATATCATACTCCTTTCTTTATGATATAGCTTTTAAATTCTGCTTTTGACCTTTGAGGGGATCGAAGTTATTGCTTACTCTTAGTTAATGGGGGCCTCCCATAACGGTATTTGGTATAAATTGATTAAGGAGAAATGCTAAAATAGATGCTTTACAGCTGATTTGCAGCCTTAAGCAGTAGAAACTCTTTTCTTTTCCACATCACCTCTTCTGACTTCTGCATAGAGTGGCTTGTCCGGATATCGGAAGTGGTCTTTAACGACAAGCAGGAAAAAAAGCTAGGAACGGAGGCGTCTTGAGGATTTTTTACGCACTCATCTATATATATATAGGAAAGAGAGAGCAACTAAGCTGAAGCAGCAAGGCGGATGAAATGAGGAGGACGATTCAGTATTTATATTTCAGCTACATTCCGAAGGGAGCTCATGCGGAGATCAACGAATGGAGCAACCCATCTGAGGTGACCGCGGAGTTTCGTCGCACGGAGGCCGCTGCCGCCCTCTCGGATCGAGAAAAAGAAAAACGCGGCTTCTTCTACCTCCCGCGTTTAGACTACGATACAGGTATTGGCGTCCCCCCTTTGATTTCAAAGGCGCAGTTTGATATCCAATACGATTTCTTCCACAGGGATGCCGTCAGACGCCTCAACACGCACACGTTGGGTGATGATTTGGAGGGGCACCCGCTGGAAGTGGTGATTCGGAAGACGGCCTTCGACGCTGCGCGGGCGGTGATTCATACGGCGGCATCTGAGCACTTCAACTACTGCTTTTGGTACCGCTCACTTCGTCCGTGGGGGACGGAAATCCCCTTGTGCATACAAGAGGGGCTCCGTCTTCAGTACGGCTGCAAAGGTGCCCAAGATCCCATCGCGGAGGTGAAGCGTCTCTTCACGGTGACCGCACTCTCTCATCGGAAGCTTTGCGGGTGGATTTACCTGGTGTGGACGGGCAAGAGTTTTGATGTGGTCGAGTTCAACCACGGGACGTGTCCTATTGGGAGTGATCTCATTCCTTTAATGGCTCTCAACCTGCACGAATCAGCCCTCTGCATCGACTACGGCGCCGAAGGTGTCTCTATCGACGCGGTCGAGCGGTATGTGAGTAACTTCTTCAAGACATGCAATTGGCGCGTCGCAAACGAGTATTTTTCCATAGCTACAGGTGAAAGCGATGACCAGGGATGTTGCTAAAATCGTACTACCGGGACCACAAATGGGAAGGGGATTATTCTTTCAGCACTCCCGAGCCTGTTAAGGACATTTATTCAAATTTTATTTTTATCCTGTTTTCGTTTTGCACTAATTGTCAGCTCTTTGTATGCATAATTGCCTTTATTATTCCCTACCCTATCCTACCTTCAAGGCACTAATCAAAGTGTTTTACATTCACCTATATAAAAGATTCTAGTGCTTCTTATAAACGCGTACGAAAAAGTAAAGGTCAAAAACATACTTACACATCCAACCGGCGAAAAAATGTCATCTAGGCAAGGTGGTAAGCAAAAACCTCTCAAGGCACCTAAGAAGCCGAAAACTGAAATGACGGAGGACGATATCGAGTTTAAGAAAAAGCAGCGTGAGCTGGAAAAGGCTCAGAAGGAAGCCATCAGTAAGATGAAGAAGTGATCGTGTAAATTTAATAATAATGACGGCAAGGGCTAACTGAACGAATGGGTGTCAAATAATCGTTTATTTTTGACGTTATGTTGTTTCTTTAAATAGGGTAAAGTCGCTTCCCTTGCTCCTTCGTCCCTGAACATAGAATTCCTTTAAGTGCGTTTCCTTCATAGACTGATGTTCCTCTATATGTGAGTAAGAAATTACGATATACCAGTCTTATTTCCCTTTTCCCCCTACATTGACCTAGTGCGTATAGACTTGGCGATTGAATGCCATTTTTTACTCAAATACCGAAGCTATTGTGTTTTGGTTGGATTCATTTCAACTGATCACGGATAACACTGTCGTTGTTATTATCGGACGCTTCTTTGTGTGTAGTCTGCATACTTTTCGTTATTGGCTTTCGAATGCTGCAATCTTCTTCCGTGTTACGCTTTTCGACGTTTGCGTTGAACCCTGAGACGTCAAGGGCCCCGCATGGCCCGCCGCGAGGTCTCATTAACCGATACATCTCCATGGGGCTCCCTCCGTGGGCGGCCTGGTGCAATAAAGTGAATCGCTATTCCCTCTACCGGATGGCAGATGTGAAACCGCGGTCTTTTCTCCCAAAGTACCCACAAGAGATGGATGTTATCTGGCTGAATGAGCGGGTGCGGGAACGGGTTCGGACGTCGCGGCAGGTGCAGCACGTTTACCGACAACTCAAGTACCCGTATGTGAAGACCGGCATCCATTACAGCGATATTCTCGACCACTGGGTGCAGGTACCTATGGTAGAATCTGCTATGTACGAGGTTGAAAAGGATGGTGGATTTGATAACTTTATTCTAAAACGCTCAGGCCCCGAGCTATGCTCAACCTATGGAGAGCGAATTCGACGTCATTTGCTCGTCCGCCAAAAAGAAATAAAAAAGAACTTCGTCCTAGATCAGCATGCCAAGGCGCTTTCAGAAGCGGTATTCAAGGAACTAGTTAAGACGAAAAACGAGGAGGAACTAGACTCAGTTCTTGCCAAGTATGGCATAGACCGCGAGCGGTTTAAGCGTTCTCTGGCAAAGTTCGTGTTAAGTGAGAAAAAGCAGACTAGTCAACCTCAAGCGGCCTAGTCTTTCTGTAGAATAGGCTTTCGAAGGAAAAATGACCGATAAAACCTTATCTAATGCCTCATTGCCTTTCTTCTTGGCAACGGCTCCTAGAGTTGTTCGCGATGCATGTCTGATGAGCAAGTTTATAGTATTGTGTGCTCTTGTGACAGTTGTGTTCATGGCCACTATGCATTGTTTATTCTTTTTTTCCTCTGTCACTAACTATAATAATAAGAATAGTTCAAGAGAAAGTTAAAAAAACTTGATCCTATATTTTCATATTGATACCCCATAAGGAGACATCTCCATAAATATATTCCGAACCCCACCAGCAGCAGCATCAACTACAAGCATGGACAATCGAACTGAGCTTATCACTGATGACCACAAGAAGTTCGTCTTCTCGTTTATTCGCATGTTGCGAAGGGTTAAGGTTGACGACGCGGAGCGTTGCGAAACTATTGTGCAAATGTTAGGTGATGAGTTCAAGTTGGACCCCGCTGGCACGGGTGGTTCATACGATACCGAAGTGGACGCCATGGGCGCGTTTATAAAGGCTCTCCGGGAGCACGAAAGTCGAGCAGGGCTGGAGCAGGATGATAAGTTCAAGTCCTTTATTTCTCTTTTGGAGAAAAAGGATTACTTTAAGGGGCTCAAGCCCGGCACCCCTGAGTACGAGCAGCGTTTCGAAAAGGCTCGTGAAAAGTTCAATCAGCGAAACAATCCATACGACGGTCTCACTGCAGAGCAAATTAAGAATAAAGGGAATGAACTTATGGGACAGGCTAAGTACAAGGAAGCGATTGCGTACTACACTAAGGCTATCGAGCTGGAGCCGGAGAATGCTATTTTCTTCGCCAACCGCGCCGCTGCGCATACCCACATGAAAGACTATAGCAGTGCTATTATTGACTGTGAGCGTGCCATCGTCATTAACCCCAATTACTCCAAGTCCTTCTCGCGTATGGGTACCGCGCTTTTTTATCAAGAAAACTACGCACGCGCTGCGGATGCGTTTAGCAAGGCCTGCGAGCTGGACCCTGAAAACAATACGTACAAGGAAGACCTCAAGCGTGCTAAGGAGAAGGCCGCCGGCAGCGCGGCGATGCAGCGAAACAGCGGTGGCATGCCTGGCTTTGGTGGGATGCCCGATTTGAGCCAGTTCGCGAGTATGATGAACAACCCGCAGTTCATGGAGACGGCGCAAAATATGATGCAGAACCCCGAGTTTAGCAACCTTGTTGCGAACATGGCGAGCCGCTTTGGACAGAGCGGCTTCGATCCCGCGGAGGTGCAGCGGCTTGGCGCGGAGTCGGCGATGGGGATGCGCGAGGTGGATGACGAGGGGAATCTCGTCACTCCCTTTGGTAAGGTCCCACAGGATGCCATAGCGAAGCTGCAGGAGGAGGAGGTGCGCAAGAACCCCAAACTCGCATCCATCATGGCGGACGTTCAGGCCAACGGGTACAGCGCCTTTCAGAAGTACCTTGGCGATCCGGATGTGATGAACTTGATGCTCAAGTTCCAGAACTTGGTGTTCTCGAACAAATCAAATGAACAGTAACGAGGAATCGAATTGTGTCCTTTTAAGCACTTTGGTTTTTTTATTTGAGATGTGACGCAGTGAATTTCAACGAAAAGAAAATAACTTGATGGGTTATTATATTTCTACTCTTATTTTTAGAATCTAAATTAATGCTTAACCTAAAGAAATTTGCACAGCACTAACATAATTAAATAAATATATACATAGATATGTAATTGAAGTGCCCGTTTGTTTCGCTATCGGGAAAACCAAAATTTTCTTAAATTATTTTTTTTTGCCCCATTTCTTTTTTATCAACATGGAATCTTATTGTGTGGCCTTTTTTTTTACGGAGTGACACTGTATTTACAGTTGACAACGTGTAATTCTCTAAAGGCTATATTTCAATAGAGGGGTACATAAAGAGGAAAGGATAGTCTGTCAACAACAAAACCAACTTTTAGATTTGACGGTGCGATGATAGCAGCGAGATCTGCGGAGAAGGGTAGCCACGGCGGCGACCCGCACACTCAGTTTGTTCAGCACGTTGTTTCCTTGAGGGATAGTGTCGTTAGGATCCGGGATCATTTTGATCGGCTCACCATTTGTTTCCAGCACGCCTTGGAGGAGGGTCAGGGATGCACGCGCATATTAGCTGACGCGTCTACGCGGCTCTCGAAGGATTTCACGGCCGTGAGTGGAACGTTTCTCGAGTGCTTGTCTGACTTAGCCACGATGGGAGAGGCCATGACGGCGGTCGCGGAGACGACACCAGATGCGGCGTCTGCTCTGATGGTGAACTTGTACAGTACATTTTTCCGACAAATGAAAACGTATTTTTGTGATGCTGGTGATAAGTTTACACAGTGCGGCGACCTCTTTGAAAAGGGGAAGAAGGCCTTTTACAAGGCTAGCTCCATTGCCGTCGGGCAGAATTCCTCCAGACGATCCTCGATCCCTACGACATCCCAGGCCCTTAAGAAGAGCGGCATCATACACGAGGTCAAGGATGCGAGCGAGGGTGGGTTTGTAGACGCCGCCCCTGCGGTGGAGGAGGCGTGTGTGGCGGGAGAGGGGGATTACTATTTCGACCCGGACACCTCCTCACGGGATGGGTTGGAGGCCTCTCCGACGGCGGCGTTGTTTCTGCGGAGCGCCGCCCCCTATGAGAACGGATCGGAGGCCGAAGTCCCCTCCTTTGCGGCTGCGGAGGGCGGCTCGCTGACGGGGTCGGAGCCGCCGTACGTGCGTGTGAGCACGACCGTCGAGGATGCCCTCGGCCCCCTCGTCCTCGCGCACCGCCCGACGCAGTTCGCGGAGGTCGACGCGATGCTCAGCGAGGTGCCAGTGGCCTCGTACTACGTCCGCCTCGTCCGACCTGGCAGCCTAGCGCACTTCATCGTGAAAAACTACTTCAACGTCGACAAGGGCGTCCAGACGGATCTCTTGTGTCAGGTGATCGAGACGAGCCGCGTGGAGGTGGAGCCGATGGGGTCGACCGCGGGCGAGGTGGTCGTGAGGGGTGGGGAGGACCTCTCGTGGGTCCCCTCCTGCGCGTGGCGGTCGAGCGCGAATGAGGACCACACGCACCTTTTCTACACCATGTACACCTTAATCGAGCAAACCCAGACCTCGTCTCATATGGCGCTCATTCAAGATGCCGTGGTGTACCCCGATAGCACACGAGTCGAGGTACTGCACGTGGTCGGTCTTATTGATGCGGCACCGCAGTACGCGAAGCTGACGGTCTACACCACCGCGCTGAAGGGCACCACCGGCAGCATGAAGGCCGCCGCCATTGCGAGCCTGATGCGACGCAGCTTTCGTCAGTTGGGATTTCTTGAGGTGGACGAGAGGGTCGTGCGGGAGGCCGTACGCGGCATGGAGGGAGGCTATCGCGACGCCGCGCAAGAGGACGCGAGCGAGGAGGGGCCCATAGTGTCTTTTCGCCCTACCGTGCAGCTCGCCTCGCTGGATGAGCCTGGTCAGGGTGCGTTGGGGACGAGTCTTCGCATTCGGAATGTGGCGCGCGGTGCGGTGCGGGGTGGGATAGAGGTGCTCCGGGCCCCTCTGACACTTGGCCGCGCTGTTGGGGAGGCTGTTCTCGACGCCACGGGGGTCAGCGATGCGGTACGCACTAGCATGGAAAACTTGCTTCGCAAGTCCTTCGTTGAGTTGAAGGATGAGAAGATTATCGATTTTTTCAACACCGCGTGGGTCGATGGCGGGGTCCCGAAGCAAGGCTACCTGTATATGACTGAGCACTGGGTGTGTTTTGTGAGTCCCGAAAGCAACGCTCGATTTGCAATCGAGTTTGACGAGATCAAGGAAATCCAAAAGTCAAAATCATCCAAAGTACTCAACAATGCGATCAACATTACTACCCACCTTGACGAGGAGTACTTTCTCACTGGGTTCCTCAAGCGCGATCAGACATATTCAATGCTCATGAAGCATTGGATAAACGGATAGTCATTAGGAGGATTGTAAAGTTTTATTTCTACTCTTTTTCGCTCTACCTATAAACACTTTTTTGCGTCCAAAAAAAAACTACCTACGGTACGTATGATAAAATTGATTTCATAATTTTCCCTATTTGCGTTTTTTTTTCCATTCAGAAACTTCCTTGTCTCTACTATGTTCCTTTGCCCTAACCCTCGGTGGTGCAGCTATATAGATACCCCTTGATGCGGATTCGTTATTAGTTTTCCTACTTGCACTGTTGCATTTTTCAGTTTATGGCTTTGTTGTTGTATGCTTTCTTACTTCATTTTGTTGCTTTCTAAGTTTCATTAAAGTTATATATCTATATATCTATATATATCTATATATATCTATATATAGATATATAGATATATCTAATATATATATTTAGAACTAACACACAAGTTAAATAGACCGAATAAAAAGGTATAGGGTAGGCAAACTAAGAAAAAGTAATTTCTACACCTTTTGTACAAATAGCTCAAACGGAGGAACCTTTTACGGTAGTCTGAGTCTGCGTTGCTCTGGGATACGACCCAAGGGTACTGCACAATAGCTTTTAGACAAATACATCTGCGTAAGTGTTTTACATTTCTTCCTCTTGCCCCTGCCATATCAGGGTTAGCATAGCGCTTTACCCTTGGTACTTTAGTTTTCTTTTCCTTCCATTTCCTCTTCTAGTGAAGAGCGCATTCCATAACAAATAGGGTTGTGCACACGCAACTGAGTCTTCTCGCGGGGGAACGGACCATGGAGGCGCTAGTCAAAGCCTCAAGACAAAAGGCCTTCAAGGGGGTTCCAGACAAACTAACTGCAGTGGCACCAGGAAAATTAGAACTACATCAACCAACCCGTTATGCTAGTCTGTCTAAAGGAGGTGGAGTATTAACACAGACTCCCAAGGCCCCTGAGCAAATCGCCGCAGATATACTTAAACAACACGATAAAATGCTGATGATCCAGCCTTCAACATCACCCAAGCCTCCCATCCCTGAAGCTGCACGCTATAACTTTAGCTATAAAAATGGTTGTGCAGAATTTTCACATGATAGCAACACATCGGATTCTAATTTACTCAATGAGCCGGTTTCTAATGTACCTGGACTATCAAAAACACCTCGTGATTTCAAGCTGGCGGAGTTGCGAACAGCCGGGAAGTTCTCACCAACTGGTAATAGCAAACATACAAGTCCTTCCAGAAGGTCTAATAAAGCTGACAAAGCTTCAAAACCCCCATCCTCGACGTCTGGTTCGCCAGTCCTGCGTTTACAGGAGTTAGAAGAGGTAAAAAGGCCGTCCAAATTAGAAAAAAATCGTAAATCACACGCAAAACGTACCCCTATGAACGACACCCAAGGGGTCAACAAAACTAATTCAATCCCTGTAGATTTTAATGCTCTTATCGCCCTTGAGTCTGCTGAACAGCGTCTCGGGCATGATGTAAGTAATGCACCCGGCAAACCGCCCGGGAAGGAAAACAGTGGTGAGGCCTCACGCTGCAATGCAACCACGCCGCCAGATGACTTAGCCTACGGAATTAGCAGTGAACCTAGCGTGGGCGATACCGACGTCTCCTCGCTGCGGCGGATTCGCAGGCCCGCTCCTCGGCTAAAGGTGCGAGATAATAATTCCAGTGATCGTGTGGGTATCGCAAAGAAGGGTCCCCCGCTTAGCAATTTTGAGGCCGCGGAGGGAAGCCTGCCCCCTCCTGTGAGGGAGGGCGGTGGGAAAGGAGTGGGTGATCGCTCGCCGATGGAGCGGCGCGCCGCAGTCTCGCCCTCGCAGCAACCGCAGGCGAAACGATTGCCCTTAGCAAACGCTACGCCTCGGCGTGGTGGCGGTAGCGGGAAGGGCGACCAAAGCCGCTCTCCGCAGGGCGCGTGTAGGAGCCGAGGTGGGATTCTTCCCCCACTGGCGATGGCCGACCGTCGCCGCGGATCGGTTGGGAGCGATAAAAGTCAAAGCCCGCAGCTGAGTGTTATGGAGGTGTCGAGCCTTCCGCAGGGCGGTGTGGACGGGAAGGAGGTGAGCAAAGAGCGCGCACGCCCCGCGGGGGATGGGGTAGGTCAGCGCGCTCCCCCTTTGTCGACCAACTCGAAGCTGGAGCGTCTCCAACAGCAGCTGCAGAGCCAGGACGCGAAGATGCGCCTGCTCCAGAAGAAGGAGCGGAGCTGGGAGGAGCAGGTGAAGCAGCTCAAGGTGGAGCTCCGCAATGCCCGCGAGAAGGAACGGGTCCTTTGTAAGATCGTCGGCATTGACCACAAGCTACCGAGGCGGGCGGAGACGGCGCCGGATCCGCCCTGTGCCCCGAAGGAGAAGCCATACAACGGCGCGGGCTTCGGACGAAGGCCGCACGAGCTACGGAAGTCGCCGCCATCCGACGGGGTGCGACCACGCGTGTGCGATAACAAGTCGGATTTTCTAAAGGCGCACATCTTTTCACGAAATACTTTCCGAGCCATCACGGCACCAGATTTACCGGACGTTGGTAGCCACAAGAGTTATTCGTCGCTCAGGACCACCGTGCGACCATTGCTCAATTCGCTAGTTCCATCCTACAATCCGGAAGGGAATGACGTTGAGGAGATCGATCACAGTGTTGTGGGGTCGTTGAAATTGGCGTCGCTGAATACTAGGCAAACCGCCTTGTGCTTACCGCACGAGGCTGACACGGTTGTTACGCCAGTGGGCATCCACTTCGGGCACCTCATGCAATTTGTGAATGCACAGATCATTACCCATAAGCAGGCCAAGGGTCTTTGGAAATTTCTTTGTGCACGAAAGAAAGTCGTCCATGAGGGTGAAGACGCGGGTGAAAACGGCTTTGGCGACATGGACGCGACTGCGGAGTCGGCCGCAGGCAAGGTGGCGAAGGGAGCCGCACTCCCCCCCTACAATACTGTGCTAAGCTCGACGCAGAGTCGTTCTTCATTGCGGGAATATGGTAATGACCACTTCGAGTCTGCCCAACAACAGGTCCCCGTCCTCACCAAGGCCCTTCGCCGAAAGATTGAAGATTTGCATCTTAAGAACAGCCACCCCAAGATATCATCTTCAGTTAGTGAGAAAGAAGAGGTCATCTTCGACGGTGCGCCCCCTTCCGGTAGCCGTGAGCTTACAACCGAATCGGACTTCTCTTTGGTTTCGACAAACAATACGATGGATCGGAACCTTTGTTCTGAGAGTGAGTTAGAAAAAGATATGGATATAATCCACCTTCCTGAGTTTCAGGGTAGCTTAGAGAAAAACGTGGGATACTCTTAACGCTTCTGCTCTTTTTTTCATGGTGTGACAACCGGAACGTTGCACCGGGAGACGAGATCTATCTGATATTAAGAATGTCATGAAAGAAACGGCTGGAGTGAAGGGTAGGTCAGGGGGATAGGGTGAGAAAGGATGACTATATGCACAAACCGTTGGGATTATGATATTAAGAAATGCCTTCTTTTGGTTGAGATGTCCTGGGTGTTTCTTTTATTTTGCTGTATGTCATTCATGCTATGATAGTTCCTTTTTGATTTGGTTACTTTATTGCATCCTAAAGATGTGGTATAGATACCTCTGTGTGTATTTATTTGTAAAAAAAATGCATTTCGTGTTTTGACTAAGTGAGCATGTTATATGGGTTTCTTGTAGTAAAAATATATACACACAAAGGGGGATAAGGCGTCTTGATAACATGCAAGTTCTAATCCCATTTAATAAAGGGACCACGAAAATGTGGCGTGGTGTTTTTTCAACTCTTTTTTCCCTTCTTGGTTTATATCATTAAGGATTCATTAAAAATGCCTGTAGTTGATCGCCAGTCTAATCGAATAGATCTTAGTCATCAAGATGGTGCCGTGGACGCTTCAGTGCTGGAGCAATTGCGCCACGCGCTACATCTTAACAAATTCTTTCTTCATCTAGACCTTTCTTACAATGTACTTGATGCGGAATGCATTTCTATGTTGTGCACGATCATAAAAGATAAAAGCTACCTCAAAACTTTTTCTCTTGTGTCGTGCGGTATTACGGATAAAATGCTAACCTTTCAGCTTGTTCCTGCGTTTTGTACGCGTGGGGTGCAGATCGCAATGCTGGATCTAAATAAAAATGAAGGGATTACTGATAAAGGCATAGACTCAATTTGTCATCTTCTACGAGTCGTTAACATCCTCGATCTACGATTATCTGGCACCCTAATTAACCCGAAGAGCGCTAAAAAGCTTCTCAAGGCGCTCGAGTCCAACACCACATTGGAACACCTCGAGCTGCCCTTCACGGTTGGGTTTGAGGTGCTGAATCGCGCAAAACTGCTGCTGCGTCGGAACTTGCGTCAAGGTAAAGACCCAAACCACGCGGAGCTAGCGGATGGCTCCAAGCTTTTGCCAAAGGTTGAGGGTACGCCGTCGGGCTCGCCAGACAATACGGGGTTGGGGGATACCCTGCTGAGTAAATTTGCAGAGATGAGGAAAGTACCTTCTCTGCGGCGGGGTTCACTGAGGCGAGGCTTGGCTACTTTCAATCAACCGCGAAGAGTTCTCCGCCTAGGCTCAAGCTCTGGTGATAGCCTTACGATCGGGAATGGGAAGGCTGCCGGCTCACAACTCTCTCTTATCGACCCCGCAAGAGGGTCTACTGGACGAGAGGCCACCAACGGCGGCTCGCCGGGTGTGCTTGCATGTTCAGGGTCGGGGAGGCGAGGGCCGTACTGGCAGCAACGTCTGCGAGATGTTAGGGATACGTTGGATCTTAGCGATCCAGAATCGATCCCACTGTCCAATTGGGCGGATCCCGCGATAAATCGCTCTTTGAAGTATCTTTGTATTCTAGAAAAAACGTTGTAGAGCGTTTTTGCAGCAGTAGAAGCTTGAACAGACTATCTTTTATGTAGGTCAGTAGGGAATCTTGGTATGATGTAATGCAAACATTATCTCTTTTTGATTACTATCAGTATTTTTATTATTTTGCTCACCTCTTACCTACACGTTTCTACCAATTCTATTTTGATTGCTAACCTTTTGTATATTGTCGCTATTTTGAAATGTATGAAATTTCTCCGCTTTTATTGTCCATATATGTTCAATTGCTTGAATTCTAACGAGTTATTGGTATATATTTATATTTGTGGATTTTTCATCTGCAATACTTTTGCCAATTGATTTTTTTAGGTTATTCTTTGGCCTGGTAATTAGGCCTTGGTTGTGCCTTCGCTGTGGTGTTAAATATTCTAATGTAAGGAATCTATTGAGTTCTTTAAGTTTAGTTCCTTTTTTTTTCGCAGGTGAAAGTGCCCATGCCACTGGCTTACGCATAACTAGTTCTTAATAATAGAAATTTAGCTCTACACCCATTGAGAATGGAGGGAGACACTGCCCACTATTATGAAGTTTTGTATAGTTTTACTGCGGAGGAAGATGCAGAGCTTTCGGTGCAGAAGGGCGAACGTCTGCGCTTGATCGACCCCACCATCCGGGATGGCTGGGTGAGGGTCGAAGTTTGTAGTGAGCCCGATCGGCAGGGATTCGTCCCTGTTTCCTATCTAAATCCGAAAAAAGTGTCAAATTCCACCGCAGACGATAGTGGTGCGACAGAGGTGAAATTATCTTTACTAGAGAACACTACACTAGAAGGAAACCCTTTAGATGCCAGTTCGATTCAGAACCGTGGTGATCTTATGAATTATTCTCAGATCAGTTCTCAGGCTCAAGACCAATCTCGTATTTTAGGCAGCATGAAGTCAGAATCTCCGAAAGCGCCCCCTGTGGAGGGAAACGCAGGAGTGCACTCAAGACAAAGGGGTGATGATCAAATTACTACCAGAATAGCGGAGCATGGAAATTTCTTCCCTCAACCTGTGAAGCTAGACTCTATTTGTCAAAAGGTGTTGAACGATGAATCGCACATTAGCAAGGCTTTTACTAATGAGTTCATAAGGAACCAAACTTATTTTGATCAACTTATGAGGCGGAGAACCGATGCACTAGTGGATATACGGACTTGCCTGAAGGACACTATGGCCGACATTGAAGCTTGTAAGGAGAAGAGCGCCTTGCTCTCACAAAGATTGAGTGAAATGGTCCAGATCACAGAAAAGGAGCACCTCCGACGAGTGGAGAATATGGAGGAAGTAAAGTTATGTGTGAGACGCTCCCTGATGCATCCGTTTGGAGTCACGCCCCAAAATACGAACCTAGACACAGGTAAGGTGATGGGTGAGCACTTCTGACTCTGTTAGTTTTGGTTCACGATTTTGCTTGACTAGATGACTTTTATTATTATGACACTTTTATTGTAAAGAGCAGGGGATCAATAGAGTTGGGAGGGGAAGGGTGTGTGTGTGTGTGTGCCATCGTTAGTCCAAGTACTCACAGCTAACTCCCCACTCATTAGTTTCCAAACCCTAACCCATTTTATGCTCTTTACTTATTCCATGATATGGTCATCCTTTCATTGGAAACTTATCCTAAAACACTCACGCATTAATTATGCATTTCCTTATCCTTCAATATTTCCTTTAATGAATGCATTTATGTATTGGATATGCCATCTAATCTTAAACATGAATGAAATAGAGCTTATATTTTTCCATGAAATTTCTTTTTACAACTCCCTCATTAGTTACTTTTCTTTCATTATTATTATTATTATTATTATTATTATTATTATAAATTTTAGGAAGGTGTCCTAAACGGATGGCTAGAAAATTTGTACTGCTGTTTGTGTTTGTTGTTTTCTTGCTTCAGGGATGGTGGACAAATACCGTCTCCGCAGAAGTGCTTAACACTTCCTTGTGCGCTGAAGTACATGGGTTTGCTGGTGAATTCAATGATAACCTTGAAATTCCAATCCAATACGGTACGAATGCCACTGAGCCCATCGTACTCATTGTGCGGCCCTTTGCACCAAACCTTGGATTTCTCACATCTAACTGGATTGAGTTAAATGTGTCTTATATGTCTACAACAGGAAAACAGGTAATGAGGGTATCTGATGGATACGGGATAATGATCCTGAGTGACGTGGCGTCATCGTCTAAGCTGAATGTTGGCATTCAACGCTTACGGCCGGACGGTCCGGTCCCATTCCGTTTTTTGAGCTTTCAAGCAAATCGGCCCACTTGCTTTATCGAGGTGTCCCCTCAAAATGCTTTCGTATCACCCTTGCCGACAATTCTTAATCCGGGAGCGAACGAGAATCCCATTCCGTCCACCGCATTCTTCATGACAAATTTGTCCAATGCGAACTATGGGGCCACCATCGGCGCGTCAGCGGGGCTGGAAGGCTCTCCTCACGGGTTTTTCGTGCTCAGCCCGGATGGGAAAAAGTGGGATCCCCACAGCTCTGGTGACCTTATTGAAGCCCCTTCCTCCCGTGTCATCAAATTCTCCTTCACGCCAGATAGCAGGGCGAGCACGCTCAGCCGGGAGATTCCTCACGTGCCCGTGTCGATCTGGACGGCCCACCGGAGCGCCGAGGGTGGGGCCGCCCCGCTCCCCCCAATCATCCCCGGCGCGCCAGCCCGTAACCCTCAGGGCAGAGGCTCGAAGGGTAGCCTTTTCGTGCGCTTGTTCATCTTTATGGCCATTGTTTTCTTTGTTTATATGGTACTGGGGAGCTGTCACAGGTATCATCAAGGAAATACGGAGTTTCCAGAGATGATTCCACATTCTAGTATATTTTTAGGCTGCTTCAAATGTGTTCAATTGGCGTGGGGGCGTCTAACTGGACGAGAGATACGGAGTCGTAACGGGGATTATAATGCGCTTGACGAACAGATCACCTACGCCTACTAAGTATTAATTGACTGTTTATTTATTAAGAGCGACAATACTCAAGAGGGCTTTTCATTAGTTGACTGGAGAATTATTCTTTCGGATGTTATTTTTTATCATCTGGCAATGATGATAATTGCACCAACTGGGCAACTTTCATAACCTTTGAGAGTTCTTAAAAAATAGTCCTTTTGATTGTTCAAGAATTTGTATATGCTCTTTTCATTTTCACTATTCAGGGTTTTTCTTCAAAGAGGGTAAGGCCGTTTCACCGGTGCTTTTTTATTCGTTAGTTTTAGCCCCATCCACGCAGACGCCTCAGCATCTTTCCCCCCTCATTAGAATCGTATAGGACGATCTTCCACAAAGTTGCATGTCCTTTCGAACATGTAGCCGTTCAGTACCGTGGGCGATGCCGGTGCTGGTAGGATTTCTTGTGGAGCCTCGTCGGTGTATCACTAGAATCTACTCCTCGTACTACGTCGCTGATCTCTTCCCAAACCAACTCATCCCGATAAAGCAGCGCCTTCCGCGAGGGACGACCGCGTCGGTTGCGCGCAAGGGACCCTCAATGGTGGCCGAGGCCGTCCCCACCCCCGTGTCGCTCAGCATGGCGAGCGCCACAGACGAGGTTTCATGGGATGATGCCGCTCAAACAGATCTCGTGCAGGTGAATTTAGATCACCAGCAATCGCAGAGCGTGCTTTCTGGTGGGAGGACGTCCAAATCGCATCGCCCGTACGTGCCGTTGGGGGAGGTCGCAAAGCTGGAGCTTCAGGGGGATTACCTCACGGAGGGTGGCCTACACCAAGAAGCCCTTGAACACTACGGGGTGGTGGCCAAAGCTTATCAACTTGCGTATCCAGAGACCCATTCTAAACACATTGGTATTCTCCTCAAACTTGCGGGTGCATTTCGGCGCACCTCTAGGCTAGAGAGCAGTGAGGCGAATCTGCGAAGGGCGTTGGACTTGTTGGACCGGTCTGAAATGCCGATTTTGGAATTAATTGTGGAGGCGCTTTTGGAGATGGGGTTAACGAAAGAAGCAATGGGGGACAAGGAAGCTGGGCCCATATATGAGGAGGCGGTGACGGTGGCAAACTTATACCATCGCTTCGGGGAGTCGCACCGGATGCTGCGCCTTCTTCCACGCCTCGGGCGTCGATTCCATCTAAACTTCGAGGAGAAATTTCGTTATTACTCTCCATTCGACTACGATCGTACTTTCGCTATCCTGGACCAATGCATGTCGCGCGCGGAGCAGTTTTACCGTCGTAACGAGGACTCCGAAGGTGTTATCCGCGTCTTGCAGTTACGCAAAGAGATGATTGATAAAAAGTTCTTCAACATGCGTGACTTTGCGGGTCGTATTCACACGATGCGTGGTCACTGGATGCGGCGAGCCGGTATTCTCACCAACGCTCCCACTCCTGATGATCTTCTTCGCTACACTCCCACTATCCATCAAGTATATCGAGACTTCAAATACGAGCTTAATACACCGATTGGTCGCGAAAAAGAAGTGCATCAAGGTGTCAATCGTGTAGTGCTGGACATGGGCAACCCGTACCGTCGGCGTGGAATGCAGGCCAGGAAAATGATGCGTGATTCTGATTATAACTTTGCTAAATATATTCAGAACAAGGAGTTTGACGACTAGTGTTTAGATACCCTTTTCAAAATTTCAAGGTATATGGAGTTTTCCAACGCTATTTTGCTCCTACTATGACTACCATCGTTAATGATTTTCTACTCGGTTTGCTCAAGACAAGGGCTTGCTTGTTTGCTTATCATTCTTGTCCCTACAGGAGCTCCTTTCCTCATTTTATTTGTCGATTACTATTATTTCTCTTTGCCTCTCTCTTTTTTAAAATCTTATTGGGACACATTTTTACTTCTGAAAATGGTCGATATGTTAATCGGCAGAGACTCACTGGACGTCGCATTTCGCGAGAACTCAGAATACAAAAGAAAGGCAAAAATTTCAAATTAGAGGCAAAAGGGCGTATCAACACAGCAAACTACATGACTTCGGTTCCACCAAACTACCTGCGTTTGAAGCGCCATAAGTGCACCATCTTCCTTCATTGCGACTTTCACCAGGATACCGTTCAAGCCATTAAGGAGCGCATCGAGAAGCTAACAGGGAGAACTTTTTATACAATACGACTATACCTGGATCGACAGAATTTAGACGACAGCTTGAGCTTGGAGAGCTGTGGCATTGATCAAGATGGCACCGTATTGCTCATGGTTCACAGCAAAGGAACTACTGCAGATGATGAATTGGTGTGGGAAGAAGTTGAGGAAGCCATCAATGAGCAGCCTGTGCCCGATTCTGCTGCGATAGCCGGCAGCGGGGAGATAGTTCCGCCAGTCGCGGAGGGAATCCTTGTAGAACAAAAGGCAACTGGCAGTTCTGCTGCGAATGAAGTCCAGGCCGCCACCTTAGTCACTCATGTTGAGTTTTCCCAAGATATTGTGGCGTGAAGGTTTGAAAATAATGCATGAATTGAAGAGATCGTTCCATAGATGATGCTCATCGGATGGATATGGAAAGATGGTTACCACTTACTAATACTTTTTCTGCTTATCGTTTCCTTCCCCCTCAATGAGTACATTTGGCTTTGCTGTTTAGGGGGGAAAATGTAAAATGAACGTGTGAGCATGCGATCCATTTCCTAGTCTCTGTTTCATGATGTATTGAAGTGGTTATTTGCAACCGATTAAAAAATTACTCATCGAAAAGGCAGGACGTAATGCGCGTTTTTCTGTCACAGATGAATATATCCTCATATGGACAATTATTTTCCTATAAATTTGGAGACATTATCATTTTCCTTTCATATTTGTGTGTTCATATATTCCAGTGAGATTCATTATTCAAGAGAGAGGCTAGGTTTCGATGGTAAATGCTAGGAGTCTCTCAGTTTGAGGGCTCTATCGACATGGACTGCTTGTCCGAAGCATTTAGGAGGGCGCAGATGGCTAATCGCATCTTCCCCATTGCGGTTGATTTTTCAAGTGATATACCGAAAAAGGAAGTTTTGGACAACTACTTACCCTATATTCAAGCCCTGATACGCTCCCGGAGGGAGGCTTGTTTGGAGGTCTCGTCGACATTTTTTATGCATGAGGAGACTGAACCCGACAGCGTTTTATCCTACGCCGGTGACGCTGTGGCAATTGCAATACCGCTTACAGAATATATTTCAGCTCACCAACCTGAGGAATAGGTGTGGATTATTATTCACTCTCATTTGTTTAATTTGCATGAGAGTTGTTGATGGTTCGATCGTAGTGTAATTAAGAATTTTCAACTAAGCAAATTTTTCTCTCTGTTTTTCCCTCTGTACTTTTATATATGTGTTTTAGAACACATTTCGGATGAGACAGTGAAGAAAGGGGATGCGATGAAGAGGCATCATCAGTGGTCCCCTATTGGATTCGTGCGGCTATGCGTCTGTTTATCTTCCCCCCCCCCCCTCCCTCCCCTCCCCTCCCCTCCCCCTGTTGTTTTTAAAGGGCTAGCGCGTTGTTTCGTCACTTTATCCATCTGGGCAGCTGTGAGTTCCATTCTTCTCGAAAGAGACACCAGTATTCGATCATCCAAATTTATCTTGTACTATTTCAGACTCGACGCCACTTCAAGAATGGATATCGATACACTACTGATGAGACAAATGGAGCTGCACACCACACTCCGACGGGTACCGAAGACGCCTGAGATGTTATTTGAACTTTACAAAAGCTTCCAGGAATATCAGCATTTTTTAGATAAACTCAGGCAATTTGCACGGAAGTTGTTAGCTGAGACATATACAGTTTTACAGTGTCTAGTGGATTTAGGTGTCGCCAACACATCTAGTGCGAGCCGCCAGAATTGGGAGGAGACGGTTCGAGTACGCCAGGCTAAAGTCTCCGCACTTGATAAAGCCCTCGCGCTCGAACCCAGGCTTCGAGAATTGGTGCCTCCTGCTGAACTGATGACTTACGCCGTACTTGGCAATAGGCTCCGCGATGCCCTCCGCATGAAGGCTAAAGGTGAGAGCGATTTGCAAAAGATGGATAAATTCATCACGGAGGCCGTCGAGTACTTGAACTTCATTCATAGCCGGTCCGGCGGGGAGGCGCAGGCGATGTTCGCCCTATTTATGGCCGAGGGGGTGGATTCCCTCGTCGCGATGCTCCGCACCGAGGACGATACGGAGGTGGTGCGGGATACCACCTTGTCCTCGGAAGGGGCCTCCAGCAGCGCGGTGTATAGCTCCACGTTCTCCCGGCGCGACTCGGAACCGCTGCCCTCCTC